AATTGAAAATAATGGATCAAAACAGGAAATCAAGCGAGAAAATCACAAAATAAATTCTATATCCCCCCTACAGAATTTATTTTGTGATTTCCTCGCTTGATTTTCTTCGTGGTGTCAATGAAGTAATAATGAATTTACATTTTTCGGAGGCGGCCATGAACGCCTCTCGAGTGGAACGGAAGAGAAGGCACGGAGACGGACAAAGACGTACAGTACCTGTATTTTTTGAGACTGTGAAAACCATTAATAAAGTCTGCGTTTAAAAAAAAAAAACACAGCTCTCCTTTTTTCAACAAATACAGGTGCGTCTTTGTCCGTCTCCGTGCCTTCTTTTCTTCCGGTCAACTCGAGAGGCGTTCATGACGGCCTCAGAAAAATGCATTGTAATTTCCTTGACTGTAGCTGCAACAGTACAATCAGATGTCAGTCGTAGTTATTTATTCCTTTGTTGTGTATTCACAAATTCTGAAATCACAATATAAATTCTGTAGGGGGGCCTACAGGATTTATTTTGTGATATCCTCGCTTGGTTTTCAGTTTTGATGTATTATTTTCAATTTTTGTAGTTTCATTGAAGTTATCGTTAGTTTATGTTTTTCGGAGGCGGTCTTGAACGCCTCTCGAGTCGAACAGAAGAAGGCACGGAGACAGACAAAGACGTACCTGTATTTGTTGAGACTGTTTTAAAAAATGAACACCACAGCTCTCCTTTTTTCGGAGCTGCAACAAAAACTTATTTAATAAAGCAGCGACACAGTTCACTGAACCAACAGCAAGTTCTAACATTGGAAGCATGTCTCAGGAAGGAGCCATCTTGGAGTCGTCGTATAACCGGAATGACCATACACAAGACGCACCGGATTTTAAGGCGCTCGATGAGCTTTTAAGAAAATGGAAGACATTTTGGTGCGCTCTGTAGTGTGGAAAATACAGTACGTGCATATTATGGAGCAGCTCCCGGGGAAGTGCAAATTGTCCTCCGTGTGGGACCATTTTGATCTCCTTTTGGAGAATAAGGTATTTATTCAAATCTCCTTGTCTCACCAAGTGCCTCTCAGATTATTGACATGTCTTGTTCCATTCTAATTCAAATCCATTTCAAGGTAACACCGAGTTTACATTCACGTATTTTATTGCAGGTGAAATGTCGAATTTGCCATACAGGAATGTCATATACCAACAAAAGCACATCTGCAACTACATCTGGCATGTTACTCATCCTTATTAGTTTGTTTTTGGAAACGGTTGTAAATGCCAATTTTGTTGGGTTTTATTTTTTAGATGGCCTGTGGCAGCACCTGGATGCTGAGGTGTGGAGACTGGAACGAGGTGCAACAGCAGATGCTATATCTGAGGTCCAGCGATACCGGGCAGAGGGGAATATTGCACGCAATCAAGACCCGCAGTTGTATTGGAAGGATCAACACACTTCTTTTCCAAACCTCTCCCACCTCGCAAAGGAGTTCCTCTGTTCGCCGGCCTCATCTGTGCCGTGTGAGCGTGTGTTCTCCACATCAGGGTCAATAGCGTGTAAAAAACGCAACAGACTGAAATTCAAAATACTGGAGCATCTGTTTTAAAACATTTCTGATACCTCGCCCTGGCTCAGTATCAAATTTAGAATAGGTTCGTTGGAGATAGGCACTCAGAAATGAAACACAAGAGACAAATCTGCTACTAACAAATTGCACGTTTATTAGCGCCACAGAATATGTCAAACAAGCAAATATCAGTGTATCGAGCTCTTAGAATAGTACCTAGCTCTTACCGTGCGTCAATAGGATGGAGAGCCAACACCCCAGGTAGAGCGAGCTTCAATACCACTCTGGACTTTTGACTTCGCTGACTCTGGACTCTGCTGATTCTCGACTCTCCTAATTCTCGGCTCTACTAAGAGTATCCGAAGTTCTCCTTTTATAGTCTAAGCGTGCCTGACGTCACGCTATCTTTGTTCTTAACAAATGACATTGCTCATCATCATAAACATCCTATGACATTGCTGTTTATACAAAGACTACAAAGCTAGTGCGAGCCATTGCGGCACAAAGCTATTGCGAGCTATTGCGAAACATCTTTAAACATGGAAAAACAACACAATATAATTATTCTTACTTCAGCATCTTAATTTTTGAAATAAAAATTTGTGAAGACAACCCAACAAGCATCCTCATTCAAGTAATTTTCACATTATTGAAACATATTGAATGATACAATATGAATGCATGGATACGAATGATATTGGACACTTCAGTCTGTCAAGTGCGTTGCCTGGAGGGATTCTTGACATCAAACAGGGGTCAGTGGTCAGTGACACAATATCAACACTGTATCAACACAGTGTGTCATTGTGTCAACATGACGCCTCATGGACCCATCACTACCAAAAACGTTTATTTGTGGAACACCGTGAAAACTAAAAGACATTTCAACAGCAACAATCAACAATCTGTTAAACAAGACATGAAACAAATAAGCAGAAATAACATAGCGTGTGCACCTTGTTCAACCAAAAGTAGATAAACTAAAATAAAGTCGAGCAGACGGTAACGTTTGGTCTCTCTCTCACCATCTTTCTTTCTAGAACTGTCTCTCTCTAATTCCCTCACTTTCTGTCACACGTGACCCTGAACCGGAAATAAGATAAGATATCCTTTGTTTGTCCCACACTGGGGAAATTTACAGTCTACACCAGCAAGATTGTGGGTAGAAAGAAGAAAACAAAATAAAGGTTACAGTTTCAATGTACACCGTTCAATTAAGTGCAATATAAATATAGATATAGATAAGGTGGCCGTCCTATTTACAATTGTTTTTCACATCACATCATTTTATTTTTTATTCAGCAGCCTGACAGCAGTCGGTAGAAACGAGCGGCGGTATCTCTCCTTCTTGCAGCGCGGGCGTAACAGTCTCTGGCTGAAGGAGCTACCGAGTGCTGTCAGGGCGGGCTGGAGGGGTGGCAGGGACTGTCCATCATAGCTTTTAGCTTAGCTAGCATCCTCCTGTTGCCCACCTCCTCCATAGTGTCGAGGGAGCGGCCCAGGACAGAACTGGCCCTCCTGACCAGTCGCTCCAGTCTCTTTCTGTACGCGAGAAAACATTCCAAATCCACCTTGAAAAGATTTCAAGAAAAGCATGAATATCAAGTTTCATATGGAAACATAAAACACTACAAAACAACAACCTCAAATAAATTTGATCCTATTTGTGTTGGCAACCAATGGATCCCAACACTGGCGCCAGCTCCACCCTCCAAGAGAGCCCGAATTGGACGGGCAAGGCAAAGGTTGATCACCGCCGTCTGCTGGTCACGGTTTGTCATTGCAAACTTCTAAAAGAAGACCACATTGATTCGTATTACCCTCGAAAAAAACGGAAGTAACACAAAACGCCCTGCCCGTCAGGATAATTTTGTGACATTTGATGGATTTTTAAAAAAATTCTGAACAAAAACAACATAATTAATTCACAACGGTCATTCTTCACCGCTGTTTCCACCTTTTGTATGGCTCTTCTTCGCTTTCAAATGTGAGAAGAGCCACATTGGGACATGCAAGGCAAAAGTCGATCACTGCTTTCTACTGGTTACAGTTTGTCATTGCAACCTTCTGAAAGATGACCATATTATTTCTTATTACCGTCGAAATATTCAGCAGTAACACAAAATGCCCAGCCTGTGAAGATATGTGTGACATTTTTTGGATTTTTTTTTTCTGAACACAAAAAACATTGCAATAAATTCACAACGGTCGTTCCACCTTTTTCCACCTTGTGTATGGATCTTCTTCGCTCTCAATTGCCAGTGCCCAATTGGGAGGTGCACGGTAGAACTCCGTCACTGTCCTCTTCTGGTAATAGTTTGTCATTGCAACATCCTTGAAGAATACCATACAATTTCCGATTACACTCGAAAAATCAGCAGGAACATTAAATGGCCACCGTGTGAAGACAGTTTTGTTACATTTGATGGACTTTTTTTATTAATAAGCACAAAAATGAAAACATTACAATTCATTCACAACGTTCGCTCTTCACCTCTGTTCCCACATTGCGTATGGCTCTTAAATGCGAGAGCCCCCTTTGGCTGTGCACGGCGAGCTGCAACAGCTGCCCTTTGTTGGTCAGTTAGTCACTGCCACCTCTGAAAGAGTACCATGTTATTTCTTATTACTCTACAGGAGAGCCCCATTTGGACGGCCAAGGCAAATATTGACCACTGCCGTCTGGTTGTCACAGTCTGTCATTGCAACTTTCTGAAAAGAAAGCCTTTGGCCAGCTTACGTCAGCGTTAGCATCGCCGGAGAATCCCGCCGCGGAGGCAAAATGCGTAACGACAGCGGATTCTCTGGTCGGATTAAAAAAAAAAAAGCGCCTAACGCGAGGCAAAGTGTGTCTGCGAAGGCGGCTTCGTCTTGGATGAAAAAAGCAGGGCCTTTGGACAGCTAACGTCAGCGTTACCACTGCCGAAGTAGCCCGCCCGTAGGCAAAATGCGTGGCGACAGCGGATGCTCCGGTCGGATAAAAAAAAAAAAAAGCGCCTGACGCAGAGGCAAAGTGTGTCAGCAAAGGCGGTTTGATCTCCGAGAAAAAAAGCAAAGCCTTTGGCCAACTTACATAGTGTTTGTACCCCCGGAGGAACCTGCCCCGGAGGTAAAATGCATGGAGACAACGGACGCTCTGGTCGGATAAAAAAAAAAAAAGCGCCGGACGTAGAGGCAAAGTGTGTCCACAAAGGTGGCTTTGTCTCGAAGGAAAAAAGCAGGGCCTTTGGCCAACTTATGTCAACGTTAGTACCCCCGGAAAAACCTGCCACGAAGGTAAAATGCGTGGCGACAACGGATGCTCCGGCCGGATAAAAAAAAAAAAAAAAAAAAAAAAAAAAGCCCCGGACGCAGAGGCAAAGTGTGTCCGCGAAGGCCACTTCGTCTCGGGCAAAAAAAGCAAAGCCTTTGGTCAACTTACGTCAGCGTTAGTACCCTCGGAGAAACACTGCGGTCAAGCCAGCCTCCACTCGCAAAATCGAAGTCAAGTGAGCCGCCACTGCGATTGACAGTA